GGGACTGGGGTGTGGGTCAGCGGTAAAAGCCCTGGCTGAGCACGTGTGAAGCCCAAGGTTCCATCCCCAGTGCCCCAAAATAAAATACAAAATCAAATAAGATTAAGCAGAAGATCCGCAGGAAGAGAACTACATTTCGGCCCAACTCATTTGTTTACTCTGTAGAAAATAACCATGTTTCAGTGGATTGGGAGATGATGGATACTATATGATTTTAGAATTTAAAACCAAGTGGCAAGGGAGAGGTATGGAAACAAAAAGTCCACAAGGAATCGACTATTATATTTACTGCATCCATGGATATTTACAAGTAGCCAAAATTTTGCATCTATTTAATTTAGGGATTTGGAAAGCAAGTTGAGGAAATATATGAGTGACCATAATGAAATGAAAACAAAATTTTAAAGTTGTTAGTTTATTCCATTTACTGGGAAATATTAAACTATTGTAAAAGTAATTACTGCACAGTTAATATTCACACATTTAATATTCACATTGATCTTTGGCTACAAATCAGTTTAAATCTAAACATTCTAAACAGCTTCATCGGATATCTGATAACACCACTGAAATAAGGCCATTGAGTGTATACTCTTGCCCTGGGCCTGTAATACCAGCACTTAGGGAGGCTGAGGCAGGAAGATCCTGAGTTAAGACGCAGCCTAGCAACTGAGCAGGATCTTGTCTCAAGTTTAAAATATTTTTTAAAAGGGTGCGTGGTGGTGGGTGGGAGTAGGGACCACGAAGTCTGGGTAGCCAGGGCAGGGGGCTCAGGGCCCGGGCCACGAGGTGTGCGTCTCATGTCCTCAGCCCTGGTCGTCCTCGGGTCAGCACCTCAGCCCCCTCCTGGACCTCTTCCATCGCGGTCCATTTGGAGCTCCTCCTTGGCGCCTTCGCCAGCCTGTCAAAGCCAGGCCCGCACGTCCCCAAAGGACACTAGCCGCTCCAACCTAAGCACACATACACTTGCCTAGGGAGTCCTTAGGCCAGGACACAGACCACAGAAGAAAGCCCCAGGGGAGCAACCACTACAATTTGAGGAGGTAAAAAGAAAGAGACAGGTGCACACCTGTCATCCCAGCATTCAGGAAGCTTCTGCAAGGCGATCTCCAGTTTGAGGCCATCCTGTGCTAAGTGCCAACACAGATAGATGAAAGCACAGCCAGTTGATCTCAAGCCCTCTGTTCATCAGGAACAATGGAATTCCACTCAGTATGAAACATGAAACGCAGCTACAGAAACTTAGAGGAAAATGCCGTGTGTGTGTGTGTGTGTGTGTGTGTGTGTGTGTGTGTCAAGGATCATGCTCCACATTTCGAAGATGGAATGATAAATATTCTTCAGAGAACAGGAAACATTCAACAGGGAGAGAGAAAGGTCCAACCAAAAGGAAAAGACCAACGAAAAACCATGAACCACCTACAAGAAAAGAACTAGTTAGGTAAAATCTGAGGAAGTAAATAGGGTTTAAAAGAATCCTTGGCTCTCATAAAATATTCACTTCAGCTTCACCTAGTGTTTTGTATAACACAGGCCTTTGTACCAATGCTGAGTGGATATTAATAATTTGAACCTGAGTCTAGTGACAGATGTAAACTCACGATCACCACGTTACTGCTGAGGAGAAAGAGCAAAAAGAGGTTACCGGGCACATAAGTTCAGTGAGCCACACAGACATGAAGGGCAATGCAAACTCCAAAGCCCTCAAACACAGTGCTTCCTGCCTCTCTCCATACTCCAGGGGATTTATTAACACAAGAGAACCAGCAATGGCCGGAGGTGTCCCTCAGAGCAGAGCACTTGCACAGGTAACATGCACAACGCCCTAGGTCCCATCTGCAGTACCACACAAGAAGAGTGTCAACAAGCAGACAACTCCCATTCAATTATGATAATGCCTACCCATGACCTTTTTTGTGCCCTCTAAAAATGAGGTCTGAGTGATAGAAGCAGATGACAAAATATAGAACCCTTGGTTCCTTGCTTCATTTTGGCTTGAATAAAAACATCCCATGTGGCCGGGTGTGGTGGCACTCGCCTGTAATCGCAGCACTCTGGAGGCTGAGTCAGGAGAATCCTTGTGAGTTCGAGACCAGCCTGGGCTACATAGTGAGTTCCAGGTCAGTCTCAACTACATAGTGAGACCCTGTCTCAAAAAATACACCCCCCCTAAAAAAAAACATACCATGTGGTTCAGCAATGCTACATGTGGGCATGCACAAAAGTGGGGGTGTAGCTCAGTACGAAGGCCCTGGGGTTTAATCTCTGGTACCACATAAAAGCAGCAATGAATAAGAATGTCTAATTCAAAGAGGAAAAGAATCTTGCTTCAGAATTTTCATTTGTACCACTAGATACCAGAATATAATAAAATAACATTTAATATCTTTCTGGTGCAAAATGTATGGACTGGAGGTTCTCTTTACAGACCTACTTTGATTCTAGTCTAACTGCAGTGAGCAGTGAGCTGCAGTCTGAGCTCTTAGAAACCCTGGTAAACATACACTTTGAGGAGGAAAAAAAACTAATGGTAACAGAAACACTGCATTTAATACAGCTAGTTTAATAACACGTCAAATTCAAGATTCCAAACACAGGGCAGGGAAAGTCATTTTGAAAAAGTGACACCCCAAAATGTTAAAAATAATAACAACTAGTTAATTGTGTCATGGGATCTCACAAGATGATAGAAATGTATGAATAATTTTGATGGGCTGGGTATTTAGCTCAGTGGTTCTTCTGCCTGCCTTACAAGTGCAAGGACCCGAGCTCAATCCCAGGTACCGAAAAAGAAGAAGAAAAATGAGAACCAAGACATGTCATGTAGAGGTACAAATTCCCAACAATGAATATAGCTGTGCTGTATACCTAAAATGTACCAATAAACTCAATTAAAGCTGAAAAAAAATAAAAATAACAAAAAAGAAAGAAATATATTAATAATTTTGAAACACGACATAGTTTTAAATAATAAGATAAATAGCTGCAACCTGGTGTTGTCTTTCTAAAGATAAAAATATTGACAAATAAGTGAAAATGGAAATGGTATTTCTTTCTGGCACTATTGCTGATTAAACCCAGGGTGTTCTGACTTACTGACATCCCCAGTCCTTTTCTGTATTTTGAGACGGGCCTCTTTAATGTTGCCCAAGCTAAGCTTGAACTTCTCACCCTTCTGCCTCAGCCTCCAGTTAGTACTTGGTTAATCACCTAACATGGAAGAGCAGTTACTGAACGCCATATCAGGTGATGGGGCATCACTGAGATCAATACATTAACCTAAAGTTTAAACTGTCAGGAATTGTGAATGTAATTCTTGGTCATTACTGGAGGATGTTTACAGGTAAAAGAAGATAAGTTACAACATATTGCTTGAAACCAATGGAAGACATAAACTAGCCAAATGCCGGAACTCTCAATCAATTCAATCTAAACCATAGAGTACATCTCAAATGTTATAGAGAGAGAAACTGAAATTTTTTCCACTTTTGTTACCTAGATATTTCATTCTAGTCATTAAAATGAGAAATAAAATTATATAAATCATATAAGTTCTACCAGTCGGCTCCACACGTTTACTTGATTTTATTCCATGTACATGTCATTACTTATCTCTTGAAATTCACAGTGTTGTCAGAACAGTGGATCTTGAATACCTCATGTTTCCTTCATGAGCGTCTGAGGAGGGGAATATTGTAATGAGATACTGAAGAAAGTGAGTAAAGTTTCAAGAATGTAATCTTCATTCATAACTTGATTTGATTTAAAAAACATATAAAGACGAGAGGAGATAAGCAGGCAAATGTAATAATAATTTTGGCTGGAGTTTAAGGCTTATGTTTGCAGTAATGAGAGAAGTTTGGAAACAAACGATTCTGGAGCTTTCATGTGTTTAGATGCAAGCCATTGTTTTCAATTTTATCCAAAGTTTCCAAACATCTCGTTCCTCCACCCCTGGCAGCATATATGATGTAAAATGTCCTTTATTTGATCTCCTTCTGTGAACACCATTTATGTATAAAATGGGATAAGTATTATACTACTTACTCTTGGGCTATTCACAGTTTATTGTTTGTCATCTCTAACTCCCTTATTTTCCTCTCTAACTCATCTGGACAGATTAGGTAATCATAAAGTGAGTGTTATTGCTGTAATCAGTACACAATCATTGTAAATCATCTTTCTCATTAAAAATTCTTTTGATAGAAAAACTGCTAGCTGTTATTTAAAAATAGAATAATTAAGTGGGTAGCCCATAAATGGTCCTTTACGACTTTGCAATTGCTTGTTTTCTCATGTTGAAGAATAAAATCTTTGGAAAGCAAAGGCCAGACCATGGCTTTTTAAGCAAGGGTGAAGATGCCCCTGATTATTTCCTCCAAGAGTTCTACTTCCTGTCTATTTTGTTAATGTTATTAATAATAAGATCACTTTATGCTCTCAAAACATCCCCAATTAGAAATTACTTGGATACATTAGAACATCCTGTCTAAATATTTTTCTCAGAATATTTTGATCCAAACTAAAATGCGATGTACAAATTCTATGCCTATGTATATTTAGATACATTTTAAAAGAAGAGTATTAAATACAAGAAGACATGTATGGAAATCTAGTTCAGAAAGAGTTTTTCAAGTTTTTTCCTCTGTGTATGTATTACCTTCTGTGGAATGAGAACCATTAGCGGCATGGGACTCAATTTGCACATCTCTCTCCTCTCTCCCCTGAATCACCTTTCCTGCAGCTGGTGTCTGTGTCACAACTCATAAAGTTGCAGTCAAGGGCTGACAAGTGCAGCCAGGAAGAGCATGGAGTACGCAGGATGACTGGGGTCAGAACTAAACTGAGTTGTTCTTTACTCCCCAAACCGAGAGCTCCGGAGCTAATATGGAAGGACACCCCATCCCGGAAGTGTGTGTTCCGGAGCTAATATGAAAAGACACCCCATCCCGGAAGTGTGCGTACAGGTGCGTCTTGACTTCTTTCCCACTGTCCTCCTAGGGACCCCTGGGCCGCACCAGGAGGGTTCTGTGATGTCACTGAAGAAACGGATGCAGGTTAAGTTACCTACCGGCTTGTGATGCGTTGCTGTGCTCGCAACAGAATGGCACACTCGTAAATCTTCTACAAGGAAATTTTCTGAGGGTGGATCATTATTTACAAATGACAATTCTGCTATTACAACAACAGTAACAGCCTGTGATTAATAACAATCAAGACACTCGTCAGAAAGAATTAGTGTTTTGAAGGGATGTAAGGTGCAGTAAATATTCTCCAAAAGTAACAAAGTAAAAGGTGAAAAACAACAAAAGAGAATAGAGAAAGGTAAAGGAATATGTTGAGATAAAAACTGTGAATGTCTCAAAATAGAGTTATTCAGTTATTCATTAAATCTCATGTTTATGAGCAAGGAATCTTTATAGAAAAATATTAATGGCAGAAATATCATTGCCTCTGCAAATTTGATATGAATACATGAAACTTACATTTTCTACATTTATCTCTAGTGCTAAAACTGGGCCTTCCTTATTTTTTTCCATATATTTCCTAAGAACTTCTGGGTTCCTGCAATGAAGATTAGCTTCATAGTCAGAAATTTAAAATATTACTTACAACAGTGGTATTTTTTATAATAAAACTCCATAAAGAAGTGACATTTTATTGTTCCAGGTATTTACTGTAAACCAATCTGCCATTTACAACTTAAATGTAGGGAAAATATTCCATCCTGTTGAGTTCAGCGTGATTGAGTTCACCTGTGTGATATAAAATGCATTTTCTATTAGTTTGTGTGGCCATAAAGTCAATAAAAGGAACAGCAGTCTTCCCCATAGAGTGCTCACCTACTGTAGTTTTTAGCTTATTATATAGCAAAGAGGAACAAAATACTCATAGTAACAATGTATTTTTAATAGGTTCTCAAGCTGTCCCTTTCACAAAGAGTGTGGCTGAATACAGATGTGGCTGCTGTGAAGTTTTATATGGATGGATGGGCTGAACAAAAAACAGGTAGGGAGACATTTATCTAACACAAATGCGTGGGCTCCTCAGGCATACAGCCCACTGATTTTCCACTGGGTTACTAGTTCTGTTTTCCCTGAACGTGGCTCAAATTTCATGGGCAAAATGCTTTCTAGAAAGCAAAGCAAAGATTATCAAACATGAGTGTTAGAAATAAAGGAAAATAGAGGAACTGACTAATTCAAACACACACAGAAGCACAAATCATTACAGAGACGAGTGGTTATATCATCATAGACTCAGATGAGTAACTACTCATCAATTTTAATTTAGCTCCAAAATGTAAATTGAAGTTTAAAATTAGATATAATAAACACAATTATATTTGGAAAGCCAGTTTACTCCTCCTAGTGGTTGGATATGAGACTAAAAAAGCCTCTTTGTCCCATTTAAATCCTGCAATTCCAAAGCTCTTTTCAATATTCTCTTTTACATGAAACTGTCATAGAAGGTCTCAGGCCAAATAAAGAATGGTGTCTAGGTAAAGCAAAGGAAACTATCCATTGCAAATGCTTGTGAAAATTAGGCAGTTAATAAAATTAAAACCAGAATAAAATGTTTACTGTCTTCCATTGCTAGTCTATACTCCAAAGTTCCTCTTCTGATTAAGGAAATAAAAAATTGTCTATTATAAAAAAGTAAAAAGTTTGTACAATATTTATTTATTTATTTTATTTTTAAAATTTTTTTGGTTTTTTGAGACGGGGTCTCACTATATAGTTGAGACTGACCTGGAACTCACTATGTAGCCCAGGCTGGTCTTGAACTCACAGCGATCCTCCTGCCTCAGCCTCCCAAGTGGGAGGCCACGCCAGGCAGTACAGTATATATTGTTAGCTGTCTCTTTTAGTATACAGAGATAAGGCAGTGGTGAAGATTCTAACAAATTAGAGAGGACTTATTGCTAGGGACAGGTAGGAAGAGTACCGCTCAACTACAGTGGACCACTGTTAAGAAAACAGAGTTAGCGCGGTATTCTCAGAGCTCCAGATATTTCAAAAAGTCCTTAGATCCAAGTCAACGTTGAGAAAAAATAAGTCATGCATTAACAAAAATTGTAAAAAGGATTGTTTTAATAGGGTGAAACAAAATACAACATGGTAAAAGGAATATCTGCTTGTATTCCCCCGGATACCTGGATAAAGGATTTACGCATGCATCAGTCAGAGGAAATATACACATCATGGTTTAAAACACAGAAATCAGGGTCCAGGTGTCTGGGGTGGAATTCACACTTTGCAAGGTACAAGCGGTTTAACTTTAAGGATAATCATTGTAGCTATTATAATTGTGATGAGTCAGTGAACTAGTATATGAAAAGCCCTTAAGAGAATAATTTGTAAGTGTTACAAATTATGTAATCAATAATGGACAGAAAGGGACTTTCTAATATTTTTATTCATCTCTTTAGTGTCTAACACAGACCAGGTGCTCAGAAAACATTGTGGAATTGTGGGAAAGCATTACTTTAGACAAGCTTAAATTGTTGTTACAGTACATAATAATTTTTGTGACCTCAGACACTAAACTTTATGAAAATTGGGAATAATGATCCCTAACTTTAGTAATGAAGATTAGACTTAAACTATGTGTAAGCAATAATACAGATTGCCCCTATGGCTTTGCCCTCTGAAATTACTCCTCTGATTATGCTGTTTTATCCAGTATGGGTATTTTATATATGTAATTAAGCTGATTTTAAAATGAGAAGGGTATGAGGCATAGGGCTATTTGGTTCACACAAGCCTTATAAGGTTTAAAGTTTTCTCCTGTTGATGATAGAAGTCAGAGTCTTAAAGCATGACTGGGAACTGGCTCCTTAGAACTGGCTGTGCAAATGCGGGAGATCCCTTAAGGAGGAATTCAGAATGTCTCTTAGATGAGGAGCCTCCAGTTCGAGTTGGCAAAAAAGTAGGAATCTTTATCTATGTCGTCACGGAAGGAACTGAAATCTGTCACCAACCTGAAGAAAGCTTGAAACAGATCCTTCCCCAGCATCTCTAGGTGAGATGCCATCCTGACCAAAACCTCAATGTCAGCCTTGTGGAAACCGAACAGAAAATCCCCCTGGGCCTAATGTGTGACCTACAGAAGTATGAGCTGATATATGGGTGTTCTTTGAGTCACTAAATTTATGGTAATATTTTTCACAGCAATAGAAAACTAATATAGCATGTAAATTGCATGATGCTTAGTAGCTACATATTAAATGTTAGCTATTACTATAATTAAATATTTGCTCAGTGAATCAGAGTTGAGGATTTAGTGTTAAAATTCTTCCAACAGGCCGAATTATCCTAGATATAGTCTCATAGTTCTTTTCTTCTCATAACCTTCAAAATGATGAGATTAAAAATAGATGCTTCAGAGGAATAAGAACAGCAAAACCATGGAAAGGTATGGGAAAAAGGAAAGTAAACAAACTATTCCTGGGATAATTGAATCACTCAAGATATTCCTTTCCTAGGAAACTTTCCTGGCCAGAAAGATTACTCGGTTCTTTTCTCTAATTATTTTTGCCATATCCAGTCTTCCTGAATTGATTGGAAAAACTAACTTGAAAATGTTACGCATATTATTATATTGGAAATATCTGTAGCCTTTTAGAATTGGGAGTTAGGGTTTATCCTGGACAAACCTTATGAAATGAAGATTCGAAGATATTATTTGTTGATTTTATACTTTCTTCCTTCTCATGTCTAATACATAGCAGATGGTAAATATTTATAAAAACCATGTACCCGGAAGGGGACTTCAGGCTCGTGTTTTTGGCAACCTTTTAAAGATCATTTATTTGAGAGTTTAGTGGGTCCTAGAAAACCTTAAACAAAATAATTAGTAAATGGATACAATTTTTCTATGCCCTTCTAACTGTATGGGATTCTTCCCTTCTTTACCTATAGTCTTCTTTCTTCTACTCTGCTTGTTTTCCAAATCATTTCTCCCCCTAAATAGAAAAAAGCATTGCTTAGAATTGCTCTATGCTGCATATTTTTCAGAATAATCTCTCTGACATTTAAAAAATTGTTTTTCATGTTATACGAAGGTTTTTAAAAGTCATTTATTAGTGCACATTAGTATATGGACTAATGGTTTCACTTTGGCATATTTGCACTTGCATAAAACAGAGTTTGATCAGCCCCCTAACACCCCTCTCCTCCTCCTCCCTTTCTCACGAATCCCCTGGTCACCTTAGAAAATACTTTAAACATGCCTGGGTGTTCGTAGTGTCTTCAGAACTTCTAACCGTGTGACAGTAAAGCAGAATGTGTGAATGTCTGGGGTAAACTCTTCAAAGTTGCACCTTTCTATTCATTTTCAGTCAAATATTAATACATTTTGGAAAAAGATGCCAGTATAAGTGCTGAAATGTGCTTCAACTGCTTACCTACTTATTTTTCAGGATCTTCTGATTTAAAGAAAATACCGATATGAGAAAAGTAAAGATAAACACAGAAAGGTAAAGTCATAATGTGCATGACCGATATTAACTTGTGCGCCAGTTGATTGAAATTCGATGTGTGTCCTGTCAGTGCACTATTCATATTTTTGTACCCGAAGAAAGTAGCAAATTAGATATTTACTTCAAAGAATTTTGAATTGAAACCAGAAAAAAGCAGTTTCTAAATATTTAAACATAATGGAAACGGAGAGCAGCAGATTAGCCAGAAGTTATTTGTGAAAACAAATGAACATTGAAACTTAATTATTGTGTATGCATATGAATGACTGTGTTTGCATGCTGTGGCAATTGAGATAGGGGTGTGTGTTAAAAATAAAACAGGGATGGGAAGGGTATAGTCGGATAGCCTGAGACATGAAGACAGGTATGCTGCACAAACAAGGAGCTCTGGAACCTCAGCAGCTTGAAACAGTGAGTTTCCAGCTTCTTAGTCAAGGTCAGCTGCCCTGGAGAAAAGGCCAAGTCTTTAACAAATGCTGATGAAAATAGTACTGTCTGTGTGTAGAAAATGAAGCTAGACCCATATTTCTCAGCCGGTACTAAAATGAAATCAAAATGGACCAGAGACGTAGGTATAAAAACTGAAACACTTAAACTGCTGGAAGATAAAATAGGGAAAACATCTAAAGACAGGCAGAGACAAGCTTCTGAAAAGAGCTGAATAGCACAAGTAATAATACCAAGAATCAACAAGTGGAGTTACTTTAAATTAAAAAGCTTCTGTACAACAAAAGAAGCAACCAACAGAGTGAGAGACAACCCACAGAGTGGAAAACAGTTTTGCCAGCTACTCCTGAGATGGAGGATTAATATCTGAATATATAAAGAAGTAAAAAAAAATTAGATGCCCCCAAAACAATGACCCAATCAAAAAATGGGCAATTAAAGCAAATAGACATTTCAAAAGAAGAAACATAAATGGCCAATGAGTACATTTAAAACAATGCTCAGTATCTGTAGTTATTAGGGAAATGCAAATCAAAACAGCTACTTTTGGGCCGGGGATTTAGCTGAGCGGTTCGGTGGCATGCCTTGTAAGCGCAAGGACCCGAGTTCAATCCTCGGCACTAAAAAAAACAAAAACAGCTACTTTTGATATTGGTGAATCATTGCAAAGTCAACTTTGAGCATCACTGCCTTAAAGCAGTTGGTTTCCTAGTAGTTGTAATGTTGGACTTTGTGGCTACTGTGCTACTTGAAAAGAGCCAAAACCATTTCAGAATCAGTAATGAGGAGGCAACACAATGAGGTAATGGATTTGATGTCATTCTAAAATACTCCAGAGATCATGCAGAGGTACAAGATCCCAATAATGCATGCAACTGTACTGTATACCTAAAATGTACCAATAAACTCAATGAGGAAAAAAAATACTCCAGAGATAGTTTTTAAAGGCAAAATTTCCTATCTAGTAGGAAAAGATTATTATTAAAATCATCAAAGATACAGAAGTAATAAAAGAGTTAAAAAAAGAACACAAAGACTAAATCACATAATTATTTATATTATGTTTTTCTCTTTCCCTTCCCCTCCTTGCCTCGCTTGCTCCTTTGGAAGTTATTTTTCTTCTCCCAAAGAATTTTGTGTCTAACAGCATCTCTGTACGTTTGTCTTGCTCTCTTGCTGTTTGATTTATTTGAAATATCCTTCTCAAATTTCCACATCACCTTTTAAGAAATAGGTTGTGATAGTACAATATAATACTTTTAGCTATGAATATCTCAGCCCCCCCCCACATGCACATGAAGAGATTTGCATCTTGCTCCTCACAGGAAAGTAAATATACTTGGTTTTTCCCATATGACCAATAAGCATGCTCCTGTTACTTTCAACCTATAAAGTGCTCATTAAGGTTGTGGATTAAATAAATGAATTTCTTAAATTTGTTTTGTACACAGATGAGTACAGTAACAGAGATATTAAAAATTACATCTTATTTTTACCATGACTCAGTGCAGTGACTGGCTTGCAGAGCCCATTCAGTGAATATTTTATGGCACACAGATAAAAGAAAGACTATAAAGACTAATGTTCAACTGTTTCCCGTCTTTTTAATTCTTCTTCAGAATAGGATATGATCCCCACGCATACCTCAGATGTATATCTCAGAAGCTATCTGGGAGAAATACACTGCATAAACTAGCTTTAAAAGGAAAATATGTGGGAATACTAACAATACAAGGCACATAAACTCCTGATTTTTCCTGAGGGTCAGGCTGTACTAGAGATGGTAGAGCTGGGAATAAAACACAGAAGGTCCTGTAACAACTGTGGATTCCAAATATCACCTTCTCTATAAAGTTAGGATAATAAGACCAACAACGACAGACATTTATTGTGAGAGTTAAAAGAGGCCACACATGTAAAGTACTTAGAGAATTCTCTGAGAGTCTAAGTATAGGGTTGTAATATTCACAAAATTCCCTTTATTTCAAAAATTCCCTTGAAAATGTCTACAAAGCTCAGAGAGGAGAAACAATTGCTTCCTGCATTTACTTCACATTTTTCCTACTCCCCACTTTTATGTGGTTAACCAACTGGTTTGGCACATGGGCCCTGTTATCACCGTTCCAAACAGACACTATCAAGGGCATAACTGTACCTTAGTTCCAGTGTGAGAGACAAAAGAACCAAGGCTGCTTATGAGAGTTTAAAACAGCTATTCTATTCTAACATTTTGAAGAGATGCCAGATTTGAAATGCAAGTAGCTATGTTCCAGTGAAAAGCAGGTAAAGTATGGAGCCAGACTGGAGAATTCCAAACAGCAGAAATCAGCTTAATACCTTTTTCTCTCCTCTGGTTATGAAGCTGTAATTTACTGTGGCTCATGTATCATCCTTTCTAAAGAATGCTCATGAATAGGCATATACCTGAGCACTTTCCCTGGACTTTCTCTTAAAGGGAGCTGGAGGGTAGAGTATCAGTACCTCCCATTTTATCAAAAGAATGTACAAAAATTTGCTGTATAAGTAAGAAACTACTTTATCACTTTTGAAAAGCAAACTCCTATACTTGGAGGAAACACTTGTTATTTATCGTATTTTCTTCCCTAAGTAAGTTTGACCACCTGAGCAAGTCACCTAGCCTTCTAGAACCTCAACTTCACTTATCTGCAAAATGAGGCTTATGATCCTGTCCTTCCTCTGAGAGTACTTTCAAGGATCAAAGAACTTTTCAACAAAAGAGGCATTACACAGATGGATCATAATACTCTAGGCCTCAGAAATATCACAGTGTAGAAGCATAATATCTATTTTCAAATGTTCTTCATTTGTATGGGTCCGGGTGTCCATCCTCTGAATATTTGATACTAAGATTTTCATTTCCTTTTGGAAACAGCTGTACAGATAATCTTTGCTATCTCGGTAAGGCTAAGATAAAGGTACTCTCAGAATTGGATAGAATTCATAGCTATTGTCTTATCATAGCTGAAATAGTATGTTCAGGTGAAGGGGAAATATGAGACTGAATGAAGAGGGACTTTACATGGAAGGGGGAAAGGGAAGCCATGCTGGAACTCTAGAAGGCCAGTTCCATGAGAGATATTACGAGACCACAAATTTCCCTGACTCAGAATTTCCCAGTACAATCCATTAACCCAAGGAAGATGGAATAACTATTACTCATGAAAACCAGAGATGTCAGGGCAAGAACAGAGGTTAAATTCTATCTTCTGCTTTTATTAATTCCATTAATTAAGTTATGCATCTGTAGTCCAGTCAGCAAGATAAAATTGCATCAGGTACCTGCACGTGGCCTTGGGGATTCCCACAAGCAATGTGCCTCCCAATCTTAAAAGTTACATTCACACAGAGTATTGTTTTCACGAGTTTTTCAATAGCTGCATATACCAAAACAGAGAATGCCTGCTTTTGAACGCTCTCAGAAATCTGTCCCAGTATACTTGTATTTGTCTACCCTTCAAAAAAGCCATCCAGAGAGGATGATAATGTATTTAACTGTCCACTCAACTCTTTCTATCTTACAAGCCATTATTCCTATTAGTACAAAAAGATTTGTGATGAGAAATGATTCAGTGTGAAATTTCTATGTTCAAATTTCGATTCTGCCACTTACTGTGTGAGCAATTATCGTTAACTATCAGATGGAAATACGCACCTCGTAAATTTGACTGGAAGATTAAATGAGATGAAAACAAACACATGAGTTTTGTACAGAACATGATAATAGCATCAATAATGATGTTAGCTTTTTTTATGAAATGTTTTGTGTTACTTCAGTAACGTGTCAGTGGCACTGTGTCTTCATTATTGGAGATATTGCAAATTCACTTTTAATGAAAGCTAATGTGGAAGTTTCTAGGGGAAAAAGAGAAATATTTTAAGAGAATTGTTTGTCCAGAAAACCCTCCTAACAAAACACATTATTCTTTCCCGTAACTTTTGGTTGTAACTTTTATTATTCCCATTTACAGATGAGGAAACAGACAGGAACAATGTACCTAAGGTCGTAAAGCAAGAGAAGAACTTGGAGAGCAATAGCAACAACAACAATAAAAATAATAACAGCAGCAAAAACTAATGCCTTAGGCAAGTTCATTAAGTTTCAGATCTCTAACTGAAGGGTACATATTGTCTAAATATTTAGTTGTTTTCCCGCAAGAACAGTTAGTGTGATGGTTCTCAACTCTGCCTGCAGATTAGAATTACCACAAGCACATCCCAAAACATCAATACTCTGCACTTACCCCAATATTTTGGTTTAATTAGATCCTCTTGGGCCTAGATATTGTTAACCATTTTAAACCTCTCAGGTGATTCCAACTTACCGTGAAGTAGATGGGTTAGAAACTAAGAAAGCTGCCTAAAAAGTTTAAGTGACCTGTTGAAAGTTACTTATCTTCACAGAACTGTGATGATTCTCTAAACTTGCCACTTAAAACTCTTAAGTTCTATAAAATTCTAAGTCGATATTCCTTTCGTGGCACCCTGTCCCTTCTTTCCCAAGCACATATTGTCTTGGCTTTCCTACAGACGTTGGGTTCACACTGAATTCTTTTAGCACCTGTTTCTACTCCTTCCCCTCCCATTTGGGCACAGAGTGAAAGGAATAGTTCTGAGATTCTGCAGAGTTATTAGCACCTCCTTGTCAGACCATATCTCACACTTCCTTGCCTATAATATGTCTCTGCACCTCGACCACAGGGTGTGAGTCTAATATGGAAGCTGCCTAAGAACAAGAGGAATCGCAAACATAAGCATGGGTAAGTGTTTACAGAGTCAGCTATTACTAAGCCAGCTTCTTCTTCTTGGACGTCTAGACTCCTTAACAGGTGGTTATCAGATAAATCAGGTTTGATTGTAGCTGGTGATTTTCTAGCTAAAACAGGTGTATGATTCCACCTCATCACCGCCACGTCAGAATTAGCAGAAGGTAAGAGTAGTTAAAAATGTAGATTTCTGGGAAGGAACCATGTCTTCAAATTCAAAATCCCTAATAGAATTAGATGTCGATAATATTTTGAGATGATGCTCTCAACATAAATACGGATAGACTTTTCTTTCAACGGGATCTACCTCCCACCCAGTATGGCCATAGGTCAGAGTTTGTCAACAACAATGCTACTGATATTCTGGTCTGTATTTTGGCTATGAGGGGTTGATGGCTATGACAGGCACTATAGGATGACTGTAACCTCCCTGGTCTCTGTACACTGGAGGTTACTAGCATCTCTTTAGTTAAGACAATCAGTATCTCTGGACTTTGCCACACATCCCTTGTGAGTGAAAATAAAATTGCCCCCTACTGAGGACTACTAGCATAGGTGAAAACAGGGATTCACTGGTGCCTCAGATATGCAGGGCCACTTTTATTAGCATAATGATTCTACATAAAACAAATTTTGTACTTTCATTTGCATAATGCACACACATTATTACCTTCTCTGTTAATTATTGTGGAATTGAAAGGGTGCCTACCACATGCCAGAAGTGATAGTAGGTAGTTTTATCTATTATCTCATTTAATTTCTTCCACCAATGGGGTAGCACAAGCTGCATCCTCAGACTGCTGAGGTTCCAATCTTATCTCCCTCACTTTGTAACTACATAATCTTGAGAATGTTGCTGAGTCTTAGTTTCAACAGCAGCATTAATAATAGAGGGGTCATCATAGTATCTCATTTATAAGTAGGTGTGTGAACTCTAAAGTTGGTGCTTATTGTCATAGCTAATATACAAAACAGTTAACATTCAGTGAACTTTACTGTTATTCTAATCCTATTTACAAGTGAAGGAACAAGGCTGAATACGTGTTCATTTCAGTAACTTGCCCCGAGTTACAGAGCTAAACTAGTTTACAGTTGGATCAAAATATACAAGGAAGTACTTCAAATGACTCATCACTTTAAGTAGATTGTTAAATAGCAAGTGCTTTTCTCCATATTTTTAAAAATCATTTCTTTCTAATCCTTAATCCTTATTCTTTGCAATAATAGCCCTTTAGTCTGATCCAGATTAGAAGGCTTGCTTGGATATTTAAGAGCATTGGGAAATGCAGTGGTTAGTAAATTCTAGCAGAGGTATCAATTTCTTGGAATGAAATTTGTGACAAGGAGCTATGGGAAAATTGTTGGACCAGCGCTATAAATGTGGGATCTGCTCTTGGATTAGACATTAACAACCTGAGGTCCAGCGATGTGAAGACAACCCGCAGGAGCTGTCTTAATATCTTATATCCCATGTTGAGCACTGAAGCTTGACTTTTTGGAAAGTGACCTGTACACAGTGTATGTTCACCTAGTCTCTCTAGGAAAGGTGACAAATGACTTGATTTCAAACCCATGATATTTCCAAAGCAGATTTTCAAAAGATGACAGCATTTATTTTGTTCCAGTATGTTTATGCTCAAATATTCTAGCATCTAAACCTAAACCACGGAGAAATAGACCCTTTAGACCAAAGTATTCAAATTCTAGTTAGGAAGGAATTTTCTTTTATTTCAAACAACACATTTCAAAGCACTCCATTTTTGCAGAGTTCATTTAGGTTCGCTGCGGAGCAAGATTTTTTTAAAAAGTTCTTAGTTCAGAAGATAAATAAATGCGGTAACTTTAAGGTTTGGAATTTATTGTTTTACCTCCTGGGGAAATACAGCAAACAAGGACACACATTATTCTGCCTGAATAATTTGTTTGCCCAATGAAATCCCCAGTCAACAATTAATATTGCAGGTTCTTGGAGAGTTTAATGTATTTATAGATAATTTGTAAGTACTGAATTTTTAAGTGGTTTTAAATATCCAAGTAAGCAATGTGAGCCTGGAATAATCTGCATGTTCATTTGCTAAACATTTTATTATAGAAAACACTGCTACAGTCCTATCTCATGTTTTTCTTTTATCATTTAGGTTTCTAAATTGCTGTTCAACATAATAGGGATATTTCAAACTGTTAATTTAAGTAAATCTCGGAGGAATTATAATAATAGTTATCAATTATGGAAGGAATAATTTCCTGATTAACCAGCCTTTGGTGAAAAGGACCATTAACTTTTCAGCATTACCAGGACTTCCCGTCACTGTTACTTTACTGCCTATGCACACTTATTGATTAATTGAGTAGAAAAAGAGATGGTGCATATATCAACCTGTATTCTCAGAAAAACCCTGTGGAATTAGAGCTATAATTGCTACGTTAAAGAGACTTCAATTTGAAGAACAGATGGGGAAACTAGAATAGATTTGATTAATATTTTTAAATGGTAAAAAGTTCTGATTCTAAAAACAATTTTAAAAATTCAAAACATTAATTCATCCCATTTCCTGTTGAAAAGAAGTTGCAATCCAGATGCCCTTTAAGTTGGGTATATACAATGGGGAATAGAGATGCAGTGTTTTTATTGAGACATGGTCTATCTGATAATATATAAGGTAACATATTTTTCTTTCATACATTGCAATATACGCATAGGAAGCTTCTAAGAACATCTCACTTGACAATAATTCTTGGTAAGGCCCTAAAAATCTGACAGGACTATATTTGCAAAGGAATCAATGTGGAGACAGATCTTCTTGAATTTGCTTCCTAGATCTACCTTGTCTAGTGCTGTGCCTTTGCCAAAATTCTTATTTGTTAATTAATTTTATATTTACATATAGTAAAACTCAATTTTGTTTGGTGTTCAGTTGTATGAGTTTAACAAGTGCATAATGTTGCTTAGCCAAAACCAAAATCCAAAGGTAGGTAACAATTTCACCACCCAAAAATACTCTTCGCTGCATCTTTCTAGGCAGTGCCTAACTTCAATGCCCCACCAACCACTGATTTATTTTCTTTTGCTAGTTTTCCTTTTCTACATTGTCATTTAAGTTAAATCATATGTAACATTTTGACTTGGGCTTCTTTAACTTTTTATAGTTTACACTGAAGAAAAATGAAAATTCATATCCAGACAAAAATATTTATTTGAATTTTTATAGGAGCTCTATTCATGATTAGCCCTAACTGGAAATATTTCAATGTCAACTAGTGAATGTATTCAGTAACTCTTGTATATCCAATGGGAAGAAAATACTCTGTGAAGAAGGCATGTGCACATGCAACCATAACCAGCTAAGTGGGCAAGAGGTTAATCTGATTATTCTCAGCTTCTCATCTGGGAAACAAACAAACAACAACAACAGCAAACCAGTGGCAGAAACAAGAATATTATCTCAGTAATAATCATTTCAGTAGCATACTTGCCAGAACCCTGGTTATGAAAAGAAGGGACAGTATAAAACTTCAGTTATGAATGCTATTTCTCTGGTTCATGTTTATAGAGCAAGAGGCTCTCCATGTTCCAAGAAAGGGTCTCCTCTTAGCAGCTCTGATTGCTGTGATTCAAAAATGGTAACAATACAATCAATGGTGACAAAACACCAAGAGAAATTATATTAACCATACAGAACACTCTTACATAGCAGCTACTTGGTGCCAAATATTATGTTTGAAATGCACGCCTCTATTTGAACATCTCAGTATTTTGCTAATCATTTTATCATTGTCATTGATATGTAGTCTAGTGCCATTATGTGCAAGATACTGTAGTAAACTGATTTTTGTATTAAGTAGTTTAACACTTAAAACAATCTATTAGAAACATTATATCTAGGACCGGGGATTTAGCTCAGTGGTTCGGTGGCCTGCCTTGCAAGCGCAAGGACCCGAGTTCTATCCCCGGTACCAAAAAAAAAAAAAAAAAAAAA